ACCCTGGTCCTCAGCTGTGCCTGATGTGTGGAGGCCAGAGAGTATCTTCCGGTAACTGTTCTGAGCATTCAGTCCCAGGGTCCGGGAGGGCAGGCGCCTGCTGTAGGTTTGGGTGGGGGTCTGAGTGCTTCTTACACCCCCTAGGAACCACCTCACCCCCACCCTAGTCCTCACTACCTTTTCTTTCCGGTGTTTGAGGCTTTTCAGCATTCTGCTGCCGGAGTCCGCCTGCTTTGTCGGCTCTCAGCCCATAGGTGATTGGACTCTGCCGATTGGTGAGTCAGGCCATTTCCAAGCACTGTCTGTCTTCCAGACCTGCATTTGAATGGCTAGTGTCTTTCCGATTCTGTGTCTCCCTCTCTCTCTGCCCCTCCCCCGTTCATGCTCTGTCTCTCTCTGTCCCAAAAATAAATAAACGTTGGAAAAAAAAAAAAAAATGAATGGCTAGTGTCTGCCCCACGGCCTGCACCCACCTGTTGGTACCCCTTAGACTCCGTGTTCTCAAAGAATATCTGGGCTTTTTTAAATGGAGGGTTTTCACTCTTGGAAATTCATTTCACTGTACTTCAGTTAAAATTTTAATTTGTTGATCTCATTTCAGATGTGTCTGTCTAGACTGGAAATGTTATATATGATATTTTTCATATTCTTATAAAAATTGTCAAGTAGCAAGGTGTAACCAGCACTTCATGCTATCTTAAAGCCAACGTTGTCTTTTGTACTAAGAGCTTTTTTCTTGTTATAGACTCATATCTACAAATAAGAAAGACATTCATAATTTTTATTCTCATTCTGTATTCTGGAATATTTGATAAATCAGAGGTCTGTTTTATGTGGTCTTCATATTTGGGGGTATATATTTAGTAGAATGTACTTTGATTCCAGCATCTACCTATCAAAGCTAAATTGTTCAGATGGGGTACATGTGGCAAAGATATCAGTACCTTCCGTTGTATTATGTCTTTAAAGTGTGAACTGAATACCTTTTCTGGGCCCGTGTCACCATCCTGTCAAGAAAGTTTGCAACTTTTCTCCCTCCTCTCTTAAACGATGTTTTTGTTAATAGTAAAAAGTTGTCGTCTCTGTGAGTCAGCCCTTTTATTCTTCGCAAATGCCCGCTTAATTCTCGCTGTTCTGTGAGGTAGTGAGGCTCAGCGTTTGCGTCCCCAGGCTGGGTGAAGGGTTGATGTCGCGGGGCGGCGATGGGTGGGGGCAGGGGGCTGGCGGCGGTCACCCCAGGCCGAACAGTGACGATGGGAGTTACTGAGACCCACGTGGGCAGGACAGCAGAGGAGAGGCCGTCTGCCAGGAGGCGGTGGTGAGGGGCCGTAGTTACAGGGCGACTTGGGGGCGTACGGGGATGTGTGAAATTTTCCCTTTTTCCGTGGCCTTAGGCTCTGTGCCTGGTTGTAAGTAGCCCATCGGGTACTGAGGGCCTACGGCTCTTTCCAGGAGGGCGGCTTCATAAACCTGTTTGCCCCACCCGTCCGCCTTCCGCTGCTGGCCTCTGTGGGCCCTCTTGCCCTGTCAGGTGCCCCTTGCTCAAGCCTGTGGCCTGAAAGCAGCCCGGCCCGGACGGAGATGTCCTGTTGACAGAGATCCCTTGTCTTTGTTCACAGCCGCCAGGAGCGTTTTCACGTCTCATTTAATCCTCAGGAGGATTGATCATCTGCCCCGCATCCCCACCTTGGCCAAGTCACCCTAGATTTATTAATTTATTTTTTATAGCAGTTCGCTCTCAGATCACCGAATCACTTCCTTGCGCACTGATTGTCTCCCATTAGAACGTAGGCTCTGTGAGTCAGGGACTCTGGACTGGTACCCAGAACAAGGGCTGGCAGGAGGTGGACACTCGGAACTTGGCCAGTATTACGTCGCTGGTAGCGGGCAGGGTCAGGGGCAGAACCGCTGTATTTTTGACTGCAGATCTTGAGGCCTTTTCAGTGCGATGCTCCTAACACAGTGCTCTTCTAAAGTGTTGAAGGTAGTGTTTCGATCAGAGGCTTATGGTCAGTTATGTGAGTGCTGGTTTTTGATTTCCCATCCCGACGAGGCCCCCATGTGTGTGTTGACTGACCGTGCTTCTGGGGGGTTGCTTTGCCACTACTGGGACGAGAACAAGTCACGGGTAGTTCACTTGATGGGGAGGCAGCATTGGCAACAGACCGCTCCTTATCGGTGCTGGAATCATTGTTTTAAAAGTTAAGACCACAGAGGAGAGATTCTTTGTTTTTCCTCAGGTACTGGAGGTGGGACAGGAGGTCTCAGGATAGCGCCAGCAATTGTATGAAAGTATTTCACGGGGCTCTCTCAGGTCCTAAGCCTGTTTAAGCCTCAAAGAATGCGGTAGAACACCCGTGCTGCACGGGCAATCACAGGGTTTAGAGTGTGGAGACTGGGGACTCTTAAGAGTGAGGCTCCGCAGAAAGGCATCTGCTTTGCAGACAGAACTTTCTTTGAAAGCTTTTTTTCTTCTTTTTCTAATGTTTATTTATTTGAGAGAGAGAGAGAGAGAGAGAGAGAGAGAGAGAGAGAGAGAGCAAGCAGGGGAGGGACAGAGAGAGGGAGGAGACACAGAATCTGAAGCAGGCTCCAGGCTCTGAGCTGTCAGCACAGAGCCCAATGCGGATTTCGAACTCGCGAACCGTGAGATCATGACCTGAGCCGAAGTCGGACGCTTAACCAACTGAGCCACCCAGGCGCCCCTCTTTGAAAGCTTTTATAAAGAAGTCTTGCTTTTGAGGTCTGTTTTTTTTATTAATTTTTTTCCTATTTATTATTTTTACTCTGTTACCCACATCCTAGTCACTTGTGCTTGTGTAATACTTACCACATGGTTAGGTCTTCAGTAAAGTTCTTGAATTACTCTTAGAGGGCGACTTACATTTGCACAAAACATCTGCAGGTAACGACTGGTGTGTTGGTTTTGTTTGGTTTAGTTTCGATGATTTAAGACTAGGTGACTACCCTGTGAGTAGATTGTCCGGAACTTTGTCATAGTCCTGTTGGTTGGTTTCAGGACTCTCTCTTTTTTTTTTGTTTTGTTTTTAATAGCTTTATTGGAAGTACAAAGTTTCCTGACATATAGAGTAAATTCCATATATTTCAGGAGTACGGTTTGATCCGTTTGGACGTATTTTTATACCCACAAAACCATCCCCAGTCTGAAGATAACGGACACCTCCCTCACCCTGGAAAGTTTTCCTCGTGCCGGCACCGCCTTCCTTGCCCCCTCCGTACGAGTCAAACCCACAACTCCCCTGAGACCCAGCCACATTCCACCTCTAGGCAGTCACCCAGGAGAAACGGAGGGGAGGATACGTCTGCCTTAGACTTGTAGTAGGATGTTCATGGAACCTTTGTGAATATCCCAAACCGGAAGCAGCTCAGATGTCCACCGGCAAGTGAATGGGTAAAGAAGCTGTGATGTGTCCACCCACTGGAACGCTCTTCAGCATCAGGCCAAGGAAGGAACTGCTGTATTTCGTTTGAGTTGAAGACTGCCGTTTTTAAGGCAGATTTGTCTTCTTTGTTGCATTTTGCTTAATCTGTATTAAAATTGAGTGATATTCATTCCCTTAGCAACTTCCCCCCACCCCCCCCATCCGATGGAGGAAACTAGCCTAATATTAAAAAGTTGGTTATAGATGAAGTATAAAAGGATGTAAGTTGTGTTTGGCTACTTAAAGGTTGAGAACTTGCAGTCAGTAATGGTCAGTACAGTTTCTGTAATCCCACATAGCTTTTTTTTTTATATATAAATTTTTTTTTTTTTTAATGTTTATTATTGAAAGTCAGAGAGAGTCAGAGCCGTGAGCAGGGGAGGGGCAGGGAGAGAGGGAGACACAGACTCCGAAGCAGGTTCCAGGCTCCAGGCTCCGAGCTGTCAGCACAGAGCCTGATGCGAGGCTCGAACTCACAAACCTCGAGATCATGACCTGAGCCGAAGTTGGATGCTTAACCGACGGAGCCACCCAGGCACCCCATTTAATGTTTATTTATTTTGAGAGAGGGAGCATGCGAACAGGGGAGATGCAGGAAGAGCGAGAGAGAGAATCACAGCCCAATGCGGGGCGCAGACCCACAACCGCGAGATCATGACCTGAGTTGCTACCAAGAGTTAGATGCTTTACCAACTGAACCACTGAGGCATTTCTGTAATCCCACATAGTTTACACACCATCTGTGTATGAGAGACGATGTCAGTGATGGTTGCATGGATTTGTATAAGATTTTTCATGGGCAGGGCAAGCAGAATAGAGGAAGTAGAATTTAAAAGGAAAGGAAAAGGGGCGCCTGGGTGGCTCAGTTGGTTAGGCATCCGGCTTTGGCTCAGGTCGGGATCTCACGGTTCACGGGTTCGGCTCGGAGCCTGGAGCCTGCTTCGGATTCTGTGTCCCCCTCTCTCTCTGCGCCTCCCCCACTCATGCTGTGTCTCTCTCTCTGTCAAAAATAAACATTAAAAAAAAATTTTTTTTAATGTGTTTCTTAGTATTTTTAGCTAATACGTCTTGCTTGCTAGGTGTCAGATGTAATTCTAAGTGCCTCTCACAGAAGCTCATTTTCTCCTCACCCCAGTGTTGTTTGCTGTCTGATAGGATCCCTATCTTATGAATAAGGGAACCGAAGAACAGAGGGTGAGTAACTTGCCTGAGGTCACACAGCACACAGTCTGGTTCTGTAGACTGGTCCTGACTACCGTGCTACATTCTGCACCGTGTTGGATATAATAAATAAGAATTTATTATGATTTTCTTGTGGGAGTCAAGCAGGGGTTCCCCCCCCCCCCAACCTCCTGAGCGTAATACACAAGGGAAAAGAGTTACACCTTATGTGTGAGGACAGCAGAACTATTCTTCGGTAGCCAGGAAATCAGTGTGATGTCGGATGTAAGCACTGCTGAAATTCTTACAATAAGTAGCTCTTTAAAAAGTACTCCTATTTTTAGAAGTCTCCATTTTGTCTGGTTTAGGTATTTATGGCTTTACGTTTCTTTTTAGGCACATCACACCTGAAAAATTTTATGTGGAAGCTTGTGATGACGGAGCAGATGACGTACTTGTCATCGATCGCGTGTCCACAGAAGTCACCCTGTCAGGTATTTCACAGCCAGGGGCAGAGGCGGCCGGCAGGACTTTGTACCGAAGTTGCCCGTGTGGTCATTAAAGTAAACGCCGCAGGGGTGTGGCTGCCGGAGCTGCGGCGGCGTCTCACATTTTAACCCCTGCCACCTCGTTTGATTTTTATGCATTCATGTCAGGCTTCCTCCATTTCATGAAAAAGGAGGAATGGGCTTGAAAATTTTCCCATCTGTAAGGCTTTAAAAACATAATTATCTCTTGACCCGTTCCCTCTTCTGTGCTCTAACAGGATTGGTTTTGTTGATGTCTTACTTCCTTTCTAGCTGTAAGATTTAGGGTATTTGAGTGTAAGAAAGTTGTTTGAACATTAAGTGTGTGGAAATTTAACAGCTGCTTCTGATTTTGAAAATATTCATGACTATGAGGATAATTCAATAAGTGGAAAATTATATATATATATATGCCTAGATATGTGTCACTGACTAAAACTTACATTTTAGGCAAGTAGTGTTCCTAAGCTGTGTCTGTCTATATCTTGTCTGTCTCTCCAGTTATATTTTGGTTTTGGTTTTGGTTTTGGTTCTCTGGGGTGTTGAAAACAATTTTTTTCCCGATTGTATGGAACACTGATTTCTGATTACATGCGAAATAATTTTGGTGACTAATGTACCAGGTGGTATCACATTTAGAATGTCATATTTCAGTTGTTTAAATATTCACCTCTAGACAGAGTCCTCTGTATGTTTTTTAAGTGTGATATTTGAGTAACCAAAAAGTAAGCGTTCAGTAAACAGTATATATCCTTTGAGTGGAGAAAGTGAAATATGAAAATACAGAGGATAGTAAAGTATAAGAAGGAGATGGCCATAAATTTCTATTTCCTTGGTTATCTGGTTATTTTGATAAGTACCATCCATGGTTTTTCTTTGACCAGATGGAATTAGAGGTCTGTTTTCGCTTGATAATTTGGCATTACCTATATCTATTAGCTGGTAGCTGCTTTCTTGAGAGAGTGTGAGCAGGGGAGAGAGGCAGAGGGGGAGAGGGAGAGGGAGAGGGAGAGGGAGAGGGAGAGGGAGAGGGAGAGGGAGAGAGAGAGAGAGAGAGAGAGAGAGAGAGAATCTTAAGCAGGCTCCACAGTCAGCATGGAGCCCGATGTGGGGCTCGATCCCATGACCCTGGCATCATGACCTGAGCTAAAACCAAGAGTGAGATACACAACTGACTGAGCCAGCCAGTCTCACTTCAATTATTTTTGACCTTTCAGTGACATTTCTTTGTAGGTAGAGACCACAGACCCATTTGAGGGGTCAAAGCTGAAGGTCACGAATAGCTTGGACGTAGGAAGGACACCGAGCGGTCATCAGTAGACATGAGGAGATACTTGGGCCTGAAGCCAGTGGTGATGAGGGGCTGACTCACTCACGCTCGCTCTGCTAGTTGTTTCCTGTTGTTTTGTTTTCTTTTTTTAACTTTTGGGAATCTAGACCATTGCCATGAAAAGAGGGGTTTGTTTGTTCTTTCCCTCCATGAAAAACTAACGTGTATTCTTGCGAATTACCTGTTTTATTGCTTTTGTACTCCAGTTAATGTAACTTAGAGCTCCATCAATCAATAGTACCTTAAGTTTATCCGATGATCTCTGTATATTCAGGATTTTCTCTAAGCTTTTCGGTGCACTGCCCCATTTGTCATGTTTGGTCGTTGTGGCACTGCTGAGTAAATTGAATCACAGAGAAACAGAGGTGAATCTCAGACCTTATTCAGAATTACTTTGTTCAGGATAACAGGACGCGGATTGGCAGCGGTGTCTCAGAATGAGTTAGTTCTAGGATGGTAATTAAACTAGGACTGGAGGAAACATTGGGCAGCCCCCGCCATGGCCGGCCCTGAAGGAAGCTGGGAACAGCTGTGTTTCCCTGTAGGCCTCGCCTCCTTTGTTCGCCCCTGAGGTGTGAGTCTGGCAGAGGGAAGAGAGGTGGATGTGGCAAAGTCAGTCCTTTGATGGGGAGGCCCGGCCTTCCCCGCTTCGGGGGCATTGTTCCCTAGACTTCTACAGGTGTGTTTTGTGAAACACCCAGGCTGAAAGTTGAATAATCATGAAATGAACCCTATCATCGAAGATGCTCTTTTACTAATAAGGGCGTTATTGGTAAAGTCACGGTTAATGGTGGTGCCTCCCTGCGCACCTGTTTCTTCCTCCCTTGTCCCCTTGTCCCTTGGGTCTCGTCCACATTTGTAGAGGCGGACGGGCAGGTCTGTGCCTCCCATTAGTTTCATGTTGAGATTAAATTCATGCCCCCCCCACCATTAACTTTCTAACTCTCTTAAATAGACAGGGACTTAAGTTTTTGGCAAGAGGTTGAATAAATTTGGTCGAAAAATGACCGTAGAAGTATCCCACGATTTACCTGATGGGGATCCTGAAGCATGTTACTTTGGGCACCTGCCTCTAGACAGCAGAGGCCTTTACATGTCACATGGACATATGATTTCATATTTTGCCAACATGGAGGTCTAACACCGATGAAGGACTCCTGCTTCCTTAGCACAAATCATTGTGCTTAGGAATCCTTAGCACAGTATTGATTGTGAAGTAACTTCTGAAATCAGATTAAATTACCTTTTCTATCAGTGAGCTTTTTCTTTGTGATTTTTCTTTTCTTTTCTTTTCTTTTTCTTTTAAAGTCAAGAAAGATATTCCTCCTTCAGCTGTCACAAGACCAATATTTGGTATCCTGGGCACAATCCATCTGGTGGCAGGTAAGAACATAAGCTAAGACGGGCGGAGAAGGTAATTAAACTGACACGGTAGAAGACGAAGGCACAGTCCCGTTGTGCTCTAGGCAATAATGTAGGTCAGATATTTGTCATTAATTTCGAGAAGTGACATAATCCAAATGACAGGTGGTTACGTTTATCAGCCTGAGGTTCTGCTAAACAGAACAAAACAACCCACCGGTTTTGGTTTTGGTTTTATTTCAACTAGAGCTGAAATCCTTAGTCAACTAGACCTTTCCTCGTAAATTCTAAGAGTACTTAAATAAACATTTTCATGTGCTGATGGACCAGAGTATTCTATACCATCGGTCCCATATCGAGGTTGAACATGACATAGTGCATGATGTTGGAGAATATTACTTGGTTCTGAGTTACTAAGGAAAGTGATTTTGTTTACCTAAATGCCGTTTCATTGAACTTAAAAAAAAACTCCTATACTGTCAGGCAGCGTGCTAGAGGTTGAGTTAGAGAAGATGCTGGGCCCTTTTGTCCTGCAGTTTACAGTCTAGTGAGAGATGCATGTAAGTAGGGAATTACCACAGTACAGCGTGACTGGTTCTGGGAGAGAGTTGTACAAGGAAGACTTCAGGAAGGGCACTTGTGGGTAGAGCCTTGAACAGAGCTTCAAAATTAATTTCATGGTAAAAGCTTAGTTTGTTTTATTTGCGGGAGGAGGAGGTGGCCAGGATCACGGCTAGGGTTCACGGTGCTGCGATGGCTTCTTAATTCTGGACGGTTCACCTTTGTGATGTTGCAGTGACTGATTATATTGCCCCAGTACGTTTCTCTGCCATTTATAATGACTTCAAGGAGATAAGGGTGGTATAGACGGGACGTTATCTATCCTGCTGTGGTCAGATCTCATGACCCATGATGTTTAGCTACGGACCGGGAAATGCATTAACAGAAGCCTCTATGCCTTGGGGATGGCGAGAGAGAGAAGGAAGTCTTTTACTCTCCATCTGTTAAGATCACTGCCTTTGAGAAACAGTTTGACCTTTCAGTAGGCACTTTTCTAAATAACGTGCTGTTCTTTCTAGTCACAAATCATAAGATCCCTTTTAAAAGACGTATGGGCTTTTTTATCTGTATGGCACAGTGAGGTCTCGCCCTGCCAGCCTTTAGAGTTTAAACAGTAAGGAGTTAGGCTACTTTTGGCTTTAGAGTTGCCTATTTTATATTTCTGTGTGTTTGGCTCTGCTTTTTGCAGGTAATTATCTAATTGTCATTACCAAAAAGACAAAAATAGGTGAATTTTTCAATCATGTAATCTGGAAAGCAACAGATTTTGACGTCCTTTCTTATAAGAAGACAATGTTGCACTTAACTGATATTCAGGTAAGAACTGGACTCACCTACTAATTGCAGAACCGGAAGCAGTACCGTGGCGGGGGAGGGGGGGGAGGGGAGGGGAGGGCAGAACAAAGGATTTTGATGGATTTTGGATTTCTGTTAAGCCTAATTATTTAAGCAGTGCAGAGAGCGAGGTTTCCCTACATACCTTTATACCTAGCCATAAAATGTACTTTTTAAAAGTCCTTTGTATGTTTTTTAACTGACTCAGGCTCTTAAATTATAACCTTTCATATGTATAGAAAAGGACAAACAGAAAACGAATCTCTGTCCAACAGCCAGATTTAACTTCATATCCTTTCTGCCAAGAAATAAAATACGAGATGCCTTTGAAGTTCCACTCACTCCATTTCATTCCCTCTTTGTCCGGAGAAAGCTTTCTTTGCTTTTAACACACGTGAATAGAAGTGTGTGTGTATATGCCCAAACAGCCCCCCCTTGCGCGATTCCAGTATGCCCAGATTGCAGTTACTGTGGCGTAGGAATACAGCCCCCCAACAGCGCGGTATACATTTCAGTTACCTTGGTATATGAACGGACAGATTCGTCCGGCAAAGATGGGAGCGCAAAGAAACAAAAAGCGGCAACTCTAGAGGTGAATTTCGGGTTGAACATAAGAGGGGTGGCGAGGATGTGGCTGACCCTGGGAACGCCGGCCCTTGAGGAGGCTCTCGGCGCTCGGCCAGAAGTCTTAGTGAACGTGAACTTCTCCATGTTCGCGGGGAAGCTGTTGTGAAGAAAAGGTTGAGGATGACCCAGAGGAAGCGATGCCGGCGAGAAACTTCACCCGGAAGGAACTCTCCGGGAGTCCCGTGACGTTGGGAGCGCAGGGATGAGGCGTGGGGAGCGGGCTCAGACTTGGAAAGGTGTAGGACGGTTGACCAGAGGTAGAGGAGAGACTCTGCGTCATAGGTTTATGCGAAGAAGGTAAGCACCCTTCAAGCTGCTCTTGATCAATGGTTTACAAGAAGGAAAACATTTTTAATTTGCATCGTTTCTAATGTTTTAAGTTACAGGGTAACTAACTCACCGTGTTGTGGCCCTGAAATTACTGTAACATTGTGTGTCCACTCTACTGGAAGTAAAACTAAAAAGTTAAAAATAAATAAATTACAGTGTACTAAATAAATATTAGCTTCAATACTTTTTCATTTCCCTGTACATTTATAACTTAGAGAAAGAGAGTTTTTAATGTTTTGGTAAAAAATTTTTAAAGCTCATATCACAATTACAGTTTTTCTCATTGATTATTAAGATGGTTAAGGTGATCAACTTTAAGATCCCATGGTCATTCACAGTCCCACCCTCTCATGCAAAATCAAGATCGCCTGTATTCATATTCAAACAGTATTTTTGCTTGAAGTCTTTTTTAAAAATTACATGAGTGTCATCACCCTGTTCTAGTTCTTGAAAATTACTTTTTTAAGTCAGTCCTATGTTTAGAGATTGACACTTACTGAGTGTTTGTCTTCTAACTGTGATTTTATTTACAGTGTTTACTTTTTCAAAATTTTAACTTGTATTTTTAGTCCCAAGATTACAAAAATATTGGCTTCCAAAAGAAAACGTAAGATCCTAAAACATGTAACACGTAACTCTCCCATAGTAGACGTTTCTAAAAATGAGCCCCAGCACTTGCTGCCTTGTTGACTAAATCAGACTGTAGGATATGCTCCTATACTGTAAACTTAAAATTTCTTTTTTACTAAATATGTTAATATATATTGACATATTCGTTTCCTGTAAGGCATGGTATTTAAGGCAGTAAAAATGGTTGTATTTATTTAATAGCCCAATACCATTGACTTGAGCAATTTTTTCTTGTTGTTGTACTTGGTTGTCAGGCTGTGCAACTAATTTTCACATTGTTCACTGCATATAATTGGCTTATAACTTTTGTTCTTAAAAAAAAAAAAAAAAAAAAAGGTGTGAGCCCAAATTAAAAATTCCGTAGTATGTAGCTTTGTAACATGCACATTAACGTGTTAATCGTTTGCTAGTCCTCAAACATTACCAAACATCAGTTGTCTTGTAAAACAAGGATAAAAATAAATGTCAATCTGGATATTCATTGGGAAAGCCAGCTAAAATAATTATCAGAAAGTAAAGATCAGTATTATTTTTACTGGACATTTCTTTTTCAAATCTTTGCATTAAAAAAAAAGAATTTAATTCCCTTCCAGCCCAGTGAAGTTTCATAGGAACGAGGACGCTATTATTCCCTTGTTATTTACTCGCTGTGTTATTTGGCCTCTCATGAGTTTATGTTTTTCATTTGTCACATGAGGGTAATAACACTAGCCCAGCAGGGGTGTTACGAAGAGGAAAGAATCTGTCTCCAAAAAGTCTGGCAGGAGGTCATAACCTGAGGCGGTGGTATTGTGTTAAAATAACTTGTGCCCTTTAGAGTAAAGACTGAAGGATACCGAGGGCAGGAGTTCGACCCAGTCATCTAAGGTAACAACACCCTACGCTGTTTATCGAACTTCCTCCGTGTCAGGAAGTGGCCTCAGTCCTGGGGGACAGTGAGCATCGTCCTCCCTGCCAGTCCTTATGCCGGTGACGGTTAACAGGGCCGCACTTAATGTTTCTGGCAGATTCCTTTTCAAGTATGAGACAGACTGATATATTTCTCCCTTTTGTTTATAGTTACAAGATAATAAAACTTTCCTAGCGATGTTAAACCATGTCCTGAATGTGGATGGGTTTTACTTCTCAACGACATATGATTTGACCCACACCTTGCAGCGGCTGTCCAACACGAGCCCAGAATTCCAAGAAATGAGTCTTTTGGAAAGGGTAAGCTTTGTCTTCAGTTATTTTTACTTATTATAGGGTTCTTAAAAATGTTTATTTTTATTTTTTGAGTTCTTTTCTTTTTTAAAAAATGTTTGAGAGAGAGAGCACAAGTGGGGGAGGGGCAGAGAGAGAGAGAGAGAGAGAGAGAGAGAGAGAGAGAAACTTCCAGCTAACAGTGTAGAGCCCCACAGAGGGCTAGGTCCCATGATCCTGGGATCGTGGCCTGAGCCAAAATCAAGAGCCAGATGCTCAACCAGCTGAGTCACTCAGGTGCCCCTTGGGGTGTTTTGTTTTTTTTTAAGGGGCATATCTCTATTTCATCCGTAAAAATGTTTATCGATTTTTCTCAATCCTGGCTGTGTCAGGATCCTGTGTGGGGTTGAAAACATACCACGTTCTCAGTATCCACCACAATAGCAAAGTCGGGCTCCCAGAATCTGAACGTGTTACGCAGACAGGATTGAGAACCACCGGTGTAAAGTATTCAGAAATCCAGTCTAAACAGACCTGTTGGTAGTTTCCTGGCTCTCAATGTTGGGTAGTAGAACGGTTGTTCATGTTAACAACATAATTATATTATAAAGTTAATGTTCCAGCAGGCAGCGTTCTTGCTGCAGTGGTGTCATTTGCAGTTTTTGCAACTAGAAAAGTAAGAACTTACTGATTTAAGAGCTTGAAAAGTACCTTTTTAAGGTGGAGTTTTTTTGTTGTTTTGCCTTTTTAAAGAAAATTCTTTTTTAATGTTTGTTTTGAGAGTGCGTACATGGGGGGGACAGAGAGAGAGAGAGAGAGAGAGAGAGAGAGAATCCCAAGCAGGCTCTGTGCTTTCCACATAGAGCCTGACGTGGGGCTTGATCCCACAAATCATGAGATCATGACCTGAGCCAGAATCAAGAGTCGGACACTTAACCGACTGAGCCACCCAGGCGCGCCCTGCCTTTAATTTTTTAACCTGAGTGTATCTTTAAAAGTAGGTCTCAAATGATATCAACCTAAAATTCCTGCTCTTCAGGAACCTGGATAATTGCTGCCTTGATTTTTTTTTTTTTTATTAATGAACCTTAGATGTGTTTAGAGAGCAGACAGAATTTAAAAGGTTGCTGTCTTACCTGTTAGGTTAGACCATATGAAATTGCCAGTAATTGATCATTTTTGACCAGTAAAAATGAGAATTTCATATAGTTCAGACTAAATCAGTATTTTAGTTGGCTCTTCTAAGATATTATATTCTAATCTAGTAAAATCGTATGTAGGCTTGGATGCAAATTTAGATGTAAGCTAAGCAATCGTGAAATTTGGCTTGTAACCAAGAGGCTGTTGCTTTTAGAAGGAGTTGCTCTGTCACGTTCTCCATCTGTTTATCAAATGTCTTGGGATGCCTGCTGTGTACCAGGCACTGTACCAGCCAGTGGGGACACAGGGAAAAGGACCGCCCCTCGTGGGAGCCTGCAGTCTCCTGGGGAAGCACAAGTCCGGGCAGTCACAGAACAAGGAACCATAGCTGTCATGGAGCCATGTACCAAAATGGGGTGGCTCCCTGGGTCTACTCCCCCAGAGTTGGGGATGACTGCAAAGGAAGGTACTCTTGAGCGGACGCTGAATTGCTGAATAGGCCTTGTTGGTCAGGGGACAGCGGGAGAGGGAGGGTTCCAGGTGGGGATGGTGGCGGTACTGTTGCGAAACTGAGAGGGAAGCCATCTCACGTGTTGGGACGTGAACTTGTCAGCTACTCAGACTCCGTTAAAGTCAACGCAGGAAATCGTGAAAGTGACAGATGAGCCATATAGACCTTAAACATTGTATCTGACTTAAAACATAAAATTTTACCCTGGTCAATTTTTTCATATAGGACTATAAGCTTTTCTTCATTTGGGGTTCCTCGATTCCCGCGTAAAGTACATCCTTACCACTTTCCAGTTTGAGTCTGTAAAGGTTCGGACACCCGCAGAGTGATCTGTTGGCAGAATCCTGTAGATTCTGTTTCTCTACCTGCCGCTCCTCTGGATCCGACAGCAGCATTATTTTAGCAGCTTGCCTTTTACCACTTTCAATTCCGTATCGTTCAGCCGTACATATGTAAAAAGTGGTTTGTTCTTAAGCCCTGTTTCCTTGATGTGTAAGACATTTAGTTAATTTTGTAACGATGAATAACAGGTACAGCGGGCACACGGCGATTGGGGCACACGCCCGAACCTGGGAGGTGTGTGCTGAGCGAGGCTGGGTGCGGCTGACTGCCAGAGCCCCCCACCCCCACCCCCCGCCTCCCGGGGACTCCGTTGTAGAGGGGCAGGGACGGTGCCAGCGCTGTGTTTTGTAAAGAGAATGGAGAGAATCAGTTAATCCACTGTGTTGCTGAGGGGACCTCTTCTGCATTAATCGTTTGAAAGAGTGGCCAGAGATGCCCTCAGGGAGTTGACGGAGGGGCTGGCAGAGGTTTGTTCTTCAGGGGGACAGCGAGCCACTGAAGGATTCCCAGCAGCCAGGAGACGGGTCCCATTCGAGAGCTCCTGCCCGGCAGCATGCGGAGGGAAGGGTGGGGAGGGCAAGGCTGAGGCTGGAGGTGGGGTGGGGGAGGCTGTTGTGGTAGTTAGATTGGAGTCCAGTGTTGGCCAGGGCAGTGGGAGCAGAGATGCAGGAGATAGGGTGGATTGGGAAGATTTAGGAGGACTTGGCAGTTGACTACAGGTAAGAGAAGGACAGATTCCAGAGGACGCATGGGTTTTTCTCTGGGCCCCCATCGTTGGCCTGAGCTGGGGAGACCTGAGATACCCCGAGGAGGGGCGGATTTGAGGGGAGGTTCTGCTTGGCCGGTCAACGAGACCTGCGTGTAGCCACCAGGTGGAGACATAGATCGTTTCATAGTTTTCTCTCCGTAGAAACTCAGGTTGGCAGGAGACATTTTATTAATTTTAAATCTTCTCTCTCAGGCAGATCAGCGGTTTGTATGGAATGGTCATCTTCTAAGAGAACTTTCTGCGCAGCCAGAGGTGAGGTCTGCTAGATAAAACTCGCTTGTCGTAGTCCAAGTTTTAGTTGAATACGTATTACAAAATGGCTGCCTAATCACCAGGGATTTTAGTAAACACTTCTCATTGAACTCACTTTATAACTTACAACCTTTGACAGGTCTACCCCCTCCCATTTTCTGGTTTGAAGAAGCCCAGTTAATTTACTCTGATCTCCTACAGAAGCCTTAAAAGAGAAAAAATACTTGCATAAAAATGCATTGCTTTCTATGAGTAAGGGAGAGAGAAAGAGAGAGAGAGAGAGAGAGAATGGGCCTCAGTGGGTGAGTGGTGGGAAGTGAGGGGCCCCAGGAGGTCCCTGGGAAAGTGAGAGCTCTGCGTTGGTCTTCAGTCATCCAGGAGAGACACGCACAGATGTCACCTTCCTCTGTCCTTCGTTCGTGCACATGCGGCGTGAACAGGGAAGCCCAGCCAGGAAGCGTAGCATATTGAATCTGGGTACATAGGTTTGCCCAGTGTCTTTACTTCTTGGCATTTGCTGTGCTTTTTTGGAAGAGGCGTATGAGCTTCCAGCAGTTAGCAGGGGTGTCTCTTTTCCCTGGAGCAGTCGAGTCGTCCTCGGCAAAGAGAATGGGAAGGGGGATAAACCTCCTGCAGCTTCACGTAGCTTTTTAGCGTTCCAGAATCTGCACACTTAGGCCCAAATGATCGTATCACGTTCTTAAACGTTTTTAATTGAAAAGACAAGGGGACATTAGAGACATTTTTTTTTCTTTAAATAGAAAGTTATCCATAAGCTTCATACCTGGTTGTATTTGCATGTTACCTCCGTGACGTGCAAATATTTTTGTATAGTATGAAAACATTTTATGTAGCACCTTTTTGTTTATTTTGAAAGCATATTTATTCCTAAATGTAATGTGTCTCTTCATTTCAGGTCCACCGGTTTGCTCTTCCCGTGTTACATGGCTGTATCCTTACATAGCGTCGCTCCTCGGTTAATGTGGCAGTCTTTATGTCAGTATTTTTCATGGGGCAGATTTAGGAACAATCCCAGTTGTATGAGGAAAGCATTTTAGAATTAATAGAAATTGCTTTTGATAACAAAATCAAACCGCCATTAACATAAAAAAATCTTAGAATAGTGGTTTACATGGGTCCCCTTTTTTTTTTTTTTTTTAAATGAGCTCTTTAGACTGAATTATTCTCTCTGTTCAAGAATTCTGGGGCTGGCGGTTTAAAGAAGGAGTACGCACACTTTGTTTTGTCTTCATTCGATTCTGTCCCAATAAACGAAGTAGTTCAAAGAGTAGTTTGAGCCTGGCTATTACAAGGAAGACTTCCCCTTCCCCTTAAAAGAGTTAGATTGAGGAACTAGGGTGACCAGCGATGTGGAGAGGAGAACGAACATGAAAATTTATATTGGTTATGCGAAATAACGAATCTGTGAGAATAGATGCTACACAAAGAATAATGCTCACCGGGGAAGGTCTGCGCACATGCAGAATTAATCATGAGTATCCAATTGTAAGTTCGTTTTATATTTTTTTAATATTTACTTATTTTGCGAGAGAGCGAGTGTGTGCTCACGGGGCAAGGGCAGAGAGAGAGGAACCCAAGCAGGCCCCACCCTGTCGGTGCAGAGCCCGATGTAGGGTTCAGTAGCAGGAACAGCAAAATCATGCCCTGAGCCAGGATCAAGAGTCGGCTTAACTCTTAACCGACTGCGCCACCCGGACACCCTGTTGGTTCACTTTAAAAACTTGCCAGCGACATCAGGATTAAAATAGGGAAGCAGAGTGAGCTGCCGTTAAAGGAGAAGTCTGCCACTGAGTGCCCATAGTCAGCACTGTGATTTCCCTGCAGAAACGGAGGTGATCTTTGTATCAGGTACCCCCAAGAAGTTTACTAAGGAAACAGTCTGTGGTTTATATGCTCATTACGTTAATATGATGTCTTTAAATTATTCTTGTTATACTTAAAGAAAAGCAGAAAAAGTTGGAGGAAACATTTTTCACAGTTGTGGGAGAATAAAAATCAGAAACTCTGGGGATGAAAGCTCTTGTTTACTCGGTGTCTGTGCCCCCTCCCCTTCCCTGGAATATTTCCAAGTTCTCCTAAAACTGAAATAAGCAACATATCTAGGTAGTGCTTTTAGGGATTTGGGACAGTTGTGTGTGTGTGTGTGTGTGTGTGTGTGTGTGTGTGTGTGTGTGTTTCTAAAATGAGATTGTGAATGGACAGATGGACAGCAACATCAGATGAGATTACTTTTTCTGGGTGATTTTAGAAACAGCCTATCTGTTTGTTTAGCTTTAAATCTAAAGCCTTAAATTCGCCTTTGTTTAACGCAGTTTCAGTGTTTGACATGCATGGAGAGAGATAGGCGGGAACAGAGGCCTGGAGGCAGGAAAGGGGGAGGTGGGAGCCTCTTGGGGGAGGAGCCGAGTCCAGGTTATGCCCGGCCTTGTGCGCTTTGTCTGCAGTGTAACCATGACAAGAAACTTGGGATTCGCCGAGAGGACTGGCATGGTGAGACGGTCACTGTGACGGAGACAGAGAACAGGCCAAAGGCGGCCATGGGAGGATACAGGGGATAATTGGAAGACAGTTGCAGTAATCCAGGTGTGAGAGGTCGTGGTACCCGGGACCAGGACCGTAGCAGTGACACTGGTGGAGGTGGCCAGGTTCTAGAACCTTCTGACAAATTGTACGTGGGGAATGCAAGAAGGGGGTTTGGCATGAATCCGAGGTCCATGGCCAGAGTAAGTGGAAGGGAGCCCTCCTCTGGAGTGTGGAAGAGCCTGGAGGCGGGAGGGAGGCCAGAGGGTCCAGAGTCCCATTGGGACGCGCTGAGCTTGAGGTCTGTGTGGCTTCTAAGTAGGGGTGTCATGGAAGCAGATGGATTCAGGGACTGGCCTCTGCGAGGGAAGTTCACGTTTGGAGATATAAATTTGACAGTCCTCTGGGCACAGACGGCATTTAAAAAGCCACAAAGCTGATGAGCTGATCGAAGGAATACGCGTAGAGAAGAGAAAAGGTCTTGGAGAAACAGAGAAGGTGGCCTGGAGGGAGTTCTAGAGAGCGAGGAAATGCTAGAGCCACGGACTGTAGGCCTCAGTGAGGACAAAGGGCCTGTGGAGTGGGGGCGTCAGTGTGAGGGAGCGCGAAGGGCGGGAGAAATGAAAATGAAGCAGCCAAGGCCAGTGAGGAAGAGGGGACCACGCAAGTGAGCGCGGGGTCCCCGAAGCAAGTGAGAAGACCGTCTGCAGGCACGGGGGTCATCGGGTGCTGGTTGGTCAAATACGGGCATTCGAGAGGGACCTTACGTACCTGCTTCCCCCACCCTCCCCCCCAAATGGGAGATGTTACCAGATGCCGATGAGAAGGATTTGGAGAAGGGGAAAACGGAAGGTGAGAGCACAGTCACACGCTGCAGTGATGTCTGTGAGCGTGTGACAGGTGGAGGCTGGTGCCCGGGCCCTCTGCCATTGTGGGTGGGAAGCAGACGTGTGTACGCGGATGCTAGTTGGCAGACAGGTGTGGTGGGAGCCTGTGGGCCTGGCTCTCATTCCCCCAGAGGAACAGGAAACAGTGGTGTGAGTGGAGCGAGAGAGGGTTGTGGCAGGCTGAGAAAGTGTGGCCTGGGCACCCAAGTGGCAGTGGATGGCCCTGGGCGGAACTCACTGGTAAAGACCGGAAGGAAGTAAATGTACTCACGTGGTAGAAGTTACATCATGGTGATGAGATGCTGTATGATTTTTACTTTCTCGTTTCTTCCGTGCTCTCTGGATTTTCTAAAGCATGTGTAGATTTGTCTTGTAATCAGAGGAAATGATTCGTAAAGCAGTCCGTCCTATTCTATGCTACGCTTAGTTCTCTAAGGGCAGGCTCCTGTCTGACTCATCTTTGTGCCCTGGCCCGAAATAGGGAATGGGTGAATGAGGGAAAGAATAAATACTGCCTCGGATTCTTGTTCGGTGCTGTGGGTTCTAAGGAAAAGTGAATTGGGAGCTCAGGATGAGTCAGTGTTACGTCTGATGGTATCAGGTCAAAGAGAGGGATGAATCATTAGGAATTCATACCGCTCGTGTCCCTCAGTACCATCATTTTGTTTGTTCACCATTCTCTTGCGGACTTACCAGAACTTCCCCTGTGCCTACCCAGTAGGTTTATACCAGGAGGTGTTTACGGGAGTGTTCACAGCACCACTTACTAACCTAACGTGAGTTCCGTCAGAGAAGAGTTAGGGCTTTCGCAGTGTGGTCCTCACAGATGGCGCAGGGCACTGAGGAGGAGGGGACTACTGGCTCACGCGGTCCCAGCATGAATCTCGGGAACCTACTGGTGGAAATAAGGGCTGAAGTTTATCAAGAATGTGGTGCTTTTTTATAAAACTCAAATATAAGCAGGCCGTGTATTCTTAAGTCACGGTCGCGGGTGGTGAAATTAAAAGGCAGGATGAAGGGGTGCCTGGGTGTCTCAGGTTAAGTGTCCAACTCTTGATTTCAGCTCAGGTCGTGAGCTCGTGGTTCGTGAGATCGAGCCCCACGTCAGGCTCGACATGTCTCATGTCTGTGCTGACAGCGCGGAGCCTGCTTACTTCTGGGCAAGAAAATACTTGGATGCGTTGGAGAAGGAACAGATAATTAGACTCAGGGTTTCGGTACTGTTCTGAAGTTGGACAGTAAGTTCGTAGATAATTTATTGAGTCAAGTTACATGTTAAGAAAGTGTTACCTATAAAAAAGAAGCATGGGGCAAACCCAAATAAATGAGGAAGGAAGGAAGATAAGGCCGTTGAGACGATGAAAGAAGCCTGTCTTTCTGTTACCCGTACAGACAGATGAAGCATTGGTAGAGACCAAGAGTCAGAGTCGTCCTTTAGAGAACTTGGCACTTCCTGATACAATCAGATGACAAGTATAGCCCGTGGCCTGGCAGTGCCGTCCCCACGTCCGGGTGCAGGGACGTCTGCCGCCCCACCGATGCCAGCTAGAACCGGAAGCAGCCTGGACAGTAGGACGGACAAGCCAGTGCGGCCAGTAGGCACGCGGTGGATAGAACACGGCCGTAGCAGCAAGCGAGCCGCACGCGTGTCGTGGAACAGATACGGCGAGCCCGGAGAGCATACGCAGGAGAGTTCCTTTTATGTGAGAAGGGTTAAAAACGATCCGCCTCAACCACAGATTGCTCGGTGCAGAGCTAGAAAGACCAGCGAGGGAGTGATGGGGCTGAGTGGGTGGTGGTCCTCACTTGGAGGGCGGGACGCAGGGGAGCTAGATGCAGGGGGGTGACTGACCGCTCTGGGTGCTTGGGGGTGCTGGGGGCACACGCGTGGGTGGGCGTGTGCATGTATGTGATGGTTTTTGTGACGCTCAGACATCCTTCACTGCGATCGGCCGTGTTGGCCAATTCTAAGCATACGGTTCAGTAAGTGGCATTTCATTCACAATGAGGCACCAAGAGCATCAGACCATCTCCTTCAGCCCAACCGCAAGTCCTCTGTCCCTGAAGCAGTAGCTCCCCAGACGTGGCTGTTTTTGTAAATACTTCGATACACTGTGTATTTTTTTCTCTTTATTGTATCTCCTAATAACACCGTTTTAACGGAAGAGGTCCGCCCTCTCCAGAAGCTCCTTCACCCTGGCCATGAGGTGGAGAGGCCCGTGCCTCGGGAGTTTGCAGGGGTGGAGGCCTCTGCACGGCCGAGCGGGAGCGGGCGAGTGTCCAGCTCGTGCCATTGCCGGGTCTGTTGGGGACACAGTTTTTATGTTAGGAAAAGCTTTTGAGGGAGCTGCTCGTTTTCCATCTGCAGTTTCACTTTTCCTGTTTCAAGGAAAAAGTAGAGTCAAAGTGTGTTGGTGGATAATCCTTAATTCACAGTTTGATCTGTAAATCTTCACGGGCTTACCGTTGTGGGTACTTTATATTCGTCATTAACGGATATGACGTATTTTTGTTTTTCTTTCAAATTGCAGTAGCCAGGTCCCCCCTCCCCCCCCCCTTTTTTTTTCCCATTTCTTACTTGAAGGCAAAACTATTTTAAAGTTATGTTTTTCATTCAGGGTAGGTTTTTTGGTGATGTGGGTAATACTTTACTTTTAGAAAGCGGCTGAGGCTAGCAGGGAAAGGAAATCATATTATTTAAATAGAAACAGTGTAGTGAACCACTTAAACATACTGTCTGTATGTCCTTGTATATAGGCTTGCTGACTTGACCAAACTTCACAGTTGAATAGCACAGTGCTAAAGGCTCATGAATATTCACGAAGAACGCCAAAAGAATGCATATTTTTCACCCTTTTTTCTCCTAAAGATGGAGGCGTTCTGGCTGGGGTAAATAGACTCAAATGTCACCTGGAAATAATGCATACGATTTCTGTAAATGTTATATTTTTCTTAATGGAGCTAAGTTATTACTATGCACTCGTGTTCTATTAACGGAAAATACTTTGATTGGATTCTCATCTCGAGGAGGAGTTGTTTCAGAGCTGGTGTGCGCTATTATGTAAGAGGTGAGGTTCACTTTGTCAGCGTGATTCAGTACCCGGTGGTCTCTGTCCCTCATCCGTGTTTTGTCCTACGGTGACTCGCATGTAACCTTTCGTATTCTGTTTCCATTATCATTTGATAGCCTCACTAAATATTTATCTCCTGCTTCATTATAATAGTTAGGTAGGTCTTCTGTGCTTTAACCCAGCTACTGCAGTTACAGCGGAGATGTTAATGAGACCCTGTAGGCTGCTTCTTACCGCTTTGAGAGGAATTGTTCATGTTATTTGCCGGATGTCTGAAAGCCAGCTGGACTCTGAGTAGTTCTCAGTAACCTAAACTCATGTCAGAAAGTATTTTCTCTTAATTGCTCTTGGCTCCTTTGCATGCGTAAAGCTAGACCTCTGACCTTATGCCTGCAGCTTTAAAGATTTGCTTTCTGAGCATTTAGCCCCTAGGGCTTGTACTAGCAACATGCTAATTTGCTTAAACCCAGCTTTTAAAAGCTCCCTTGAAAATTAGGGACATTATGAAAAGGAGTTTCTCTGACTCGTCTTACTTATTTATTTTTTTTTATAGGCCAGGCTATATCGGGATGAAATCCTATGGACCGTTAGATAAATTGTAGAAGTTTTAGGCCAGGAAGTTGTCAAGGTTATTCCCTTATTACGGGTGAACTAGCAGAAGAAAGGCACTTAGTAAGTGACCTGGCCAAGATCGCAGAACCAGAATTGGAGTTAGCGACTCCTTCCTGAGTAGATTGTTTTGGATGGAGACGTATGTTGAATTAAAATTTTTGAGTAAGTAATGTATTCACATAGTTCAGGTACCAAAAAGTATACGCATATATGCAGCAAAAAACATTTCTCGTTTTTTGAGCCCATCCACTCGATGTTCCTCCACTACCAGCCAATCAGTTGTTAGTTCCTGTTTATCCTTCCAGATCATTTTTACGCTGTTACGGTTGTATGTTCTCCTTCTCCTCTTACAGACATTGATTGTATGCTCTGCCCATTTTCTTGCACCTTGTTTTTTTCTGTTTTTTAAATCCATATATCTTAGAAATCTTTTCATAAAGGTCTGCCTCCCTTTCTGTCTCTCTCCCTCCCTCCCTGCACCCTACCCCCTCCATGCACACCGACCTCACTCTCATTTCTAAAAATATTCCGTAATGGGAATTACGGAAAGAACCAAGTATACGATGCTTCTGACAAGTAATTTTAGCAGGTATTGAGTTCTTAAAAAAAAAAAAAAAAAAAATTGAAAAGCCGGGAGGCACGCCTGGCTGGCTCATCGGTGGAGCAAGCGACTCTTAATCTTGGGGTCATGAGTTCGAGCCCCGTGTTGGGTGTAGAGATTACTGAAAAATAAAATCTTAAGAAAAAGAAAAAGTGTTGAGAAAGCATTTCACTGCTAATTTGATTCAGTAATTTTGTCCCCATCAATATTAACAAAAACAGCTACCTCACCTCAAAATGTTGTTTGATAAATAGATCAAATAGAAAGGACATTAAGAAATATCTGAGGTGGTTAAAAATAGATCCGATAGGATATTAGGAAATATCTGAGGTGATTAAAAATCTATTGATTTTTTTTTTTAATTTTTTTTTAATGTTTATTCATTATTGAGAGATAGAAACTGAGCATGAGCAGGGGAGGGGCAGAGAGAGAGGGAGACACAGAATCCGAAGCAGGCTCCAGGCTCTGAGCTGTCAGCACAGAGCCTGACGCAGGGCCCGAACTCACCAACCGTGAGATCATGACCTGAGCCGAAGTCGGACGCCCAGCCGACGGAGCCACCCAGGCGCCCCAAATCTATTGATTTCTTAATGATAACTTGGTAATTTGAGTTCAAGACTAGCTTGAAAGTTGCCTTTACAAGCTTTTCATAATGAAAATAGCGTATGTAAACAGGATTGTACAGGAAGGTTTCAGGTAATTGGATGGAGTAACTGATGTCAAGACTAAACGCTTTGGAGCAATGGTTTTCAAACTAGGCTTTGTGGGTATGTTCATGAAGTTACAGGGGTTCTAGCACCATTCAGGTATTGTGTTTTCATTTTGATAATTAAAATCATTGTAAATGTTTGTTGGACCCTTTGCATTATTATAATGAAATACTGTCAACCTGATGACCCACATTTGCATTTGCTGTTTTAACTTTCAAAATAGTATTTTTCAAACTGGGATCTATGTATATACTTTCAGGGGTCCTTGAAAATTTGACTTTAAAAAAAATTTTTTTAACATTTATTTTTGAGAGAGAGAGACAGTGTAAGCAGGGGAAGGACGGGGAGAGAGGGAGAGACACAGAATCTGAAGCAGGCTTCAGACTCTGAGCTGTCAGCACAGAATCTGACATGGGGCTCGAACTCACGGACTGTGAGATCATGACCTCAGCCGAAGCTGGACACTCAACTGACTGAGCCACCCTGGTGCCCCAGAGAATTTATTTTTTCTTGAAAATATTTCTCAAGTTTGAAGGACGCTGTTTTAGAGGAATTGTGTATGTACAAACAACTGACACGTTAGTGACCCACTTCACCTGTTTATTGATCGGTCGTTAATACCCCCCTTAAGCCTGTTCAGAGGAGTGAGCCACTGGTAGCTTTCTGATCATGGACCATGTGTATGTCTGAAATTTATTTTTACAAGTACTTTCTCACTAACTAGAGTCGACTTAATTCCTTCCAAGTTAAACTGGATGTGTTTCTTACGTCATAAATATCGTTAACTTTAACTTTTTTCCAATTCAGGAATTGATTCTGAAGGCCATGCAGCCAACTTTGTAGAAACAGAGCAAATTGTGCACTACAATGGGAGCAGGGCTTCTTTTGTGCAGGCAAGTGGCAAGTGGATGTGTCTGTGAGGCAGCCCGCCAGCTGCTGCTTTTGCTTGGATCGTAATCTTCTGCACTGTTGTTGAAATTGCCCTCCTCCTTGCTGCTTTTTAAAGCGGCACCATCTACAATGTGGAAAAAGTTCACTCAGTACAAGCTACTCCATTAACCTGGCACTCACCTGCCCTTGAATTGAGTCCCGAAGGAGAGGGGAGGGGAGGAGATTCAAAGGTTACGGAAGGGAGCCGCCTGTCTGCCCCACCCTCCAGACTTCAAGGCGCTGGTGATGGGGCCCCTGCCCGTGTGATGGCTTTTCCCACCCTGCACTTCTTCGTGGGACAGCCTGTCTCTTGTTGTCTCCTTGTGGGGTCATGGGTCATTTGCTGCTCCAGAGGAACAGCAGTGGCTCAGGCTATTCACAGGTTCATGAACTACTCATTTGGGAATGAATAAAGCAGTTTCTGGTTTTATCATAATACCATATTCTGTAAGACATAACTTACTAAGTTTTACTTGTAGATAAATTGATTTATTTTAGAGTTTAGGGGAAACAGAACTGTTTGTTGCCCAGGGACCAGGTACATAAAACCAAGGAGAAAAAGTCCTTTCCGAATACATTCCTACAAAATAGGAACTTGGGGAGTAGGCAAGTTCACGGACTCTTTCATGGTTGTAGGTTGTATTTAATTTTTTTCCTTTGTAGTCAGTGACACACACGCGCCCCTGACAGTAAGTTAGCTGAGACAGTAAGTTAGCTGAGACAGGTGTGTGTGTGTGTATTTTCATATTTTCACATTTCTCTCTCTTTTCTTTTAGACTCGAGGATCAATACCACTTTTCTGGTCTCAAAGACCAAATCTCAAGTACAAACCGCTGCCGCTGATCAACAAAGTAGCAAATCATGTGAGTATCTTCTGTGCTTTTTTCATTGGCTAAAAATAGGAGCTGAGTGGCATCATAGTTTGCATGTGGAGCACATATTTATTTCTTGCACGTCAGAATTCAGCATCTCTGCCGCCTCTTTCCTAGGTTCTGGCGCCCAGTGAACCTCTGACCCACGGGCTGTAGGGACGGCCTGTTGGAAATGCAGAGAACAAGCTGATCGAACGGGATGGCAAATTTAGATTTTTGAGCTCTCGTAACATTTGCCGCTTCGTGCTGTTCCGAGTACCTAGTGTATTCTGTTTGACGTTGTGCGCAGAACGAAAGTATAGTATTGCGGCTCAAAATTGAATGGCTTGGAGTTAGTTTATCACATGGTATTTAGGGGACCTGGTCTCAATTGTAGTGCCATTCTCTTGAATATACAAATAGGACGTTTAAGGAGATCCTTTAAAAATTTTCTAAATGTTCTTACAGTATAATCTGGTAAAGTGTGTAACCCTTTTTTCTTTCTAGATGGATGGTTTCCAAAGGCATTTTGATTCCCAAGTTATTATTTATGGAAAACAAGTAATAATCAATCTGGTATGTGTCTTACATGTTTCTTGGGGGAACAAAACAAAAAACGTCTTAAAATATGTAACATCTATCATTATAACTGTTTTTAAGTGTGCAGTTCAGTGGTATAATGTGTTTTACAGTGTTGTGCAACCATCACAATTGACCGTTGCCAGAAGTTTTCATCATACCAAACAGAAACTCAGTATCCATTAAACAGTAACTCCTCTCCCGTCAGCCCCTGGTAACTGTTCTACTAGCTCTCTTTATATTTTCCTATTCTAGGTACCCCACGTAGGTGGATCATAGAATATTTATTCCTTTGGCTCTTGTTTCTTTTACCGACTTAATGTTTTTAAGGTCTGTCTGTCCATGTTACAGCACGTATCAAAATTTCATTCCTTTTCAAGACTGAATGACACTCCATTGTATGTACCATATTTCGTTTACCCATTTGTCTGTGGATGGACATGGGGTTGTTTCTGCATTTTAGCTGTTGTGAATAATGCTGCTCTGAACCCTGGTGTGCAAGTATGTAGTTGAGTTCCTGCTTTCAGTCCTTTTAGGGCAACACCTAGAAGTGGAATTGCCGGATTGTATGATAGTTCTAGGTTTAACGTTTTAAGGAACCGCCGTCCTGTTCTTGACCGTGGCTACGCGTCTTACATTCCCACCGGCAGTGCACCCGCATTCCAGTTTCTCCACATCCTTGCCAACACTTGGATTTTTCAGGATTTGTTTTGTTTTTTGATTATAACCGTCTTTTTGGGGGTGGAGTGCTATGTCATAGTGGTTTTGATTGGCATTTCTCTGGTGACTAATGACATTGAGCACCTTTTCATGTGCATATTGGACATTTGTAGGTCTTAGGAGAAGCATCTTCTCAAGTACTTTGCTCACTTTTAATCAGGTTGTTGTTTTGTTGAGTTATGGTAGTTCTTTATATATTCTGGAACGAATCCCTTCGTAGAGATGCTTTGCAAATATTTTCTCCCATTCTTTGGGTTGTTTTTGAGAACTGCTAGTTGTAGGTCTATTCAGATTTTGTTTTTTCACGATTAACGTTTTGGTAGATTGTTTCTAGAAATGTGTCCATTTCATGTAGTTGTCCAGTTCATTGACATACAAATGCTCCTAGAATTCTCTTATAAACCTTTTTATTTCTTCAGAATTGGTAGTAATGTACTAGAATCATTCCTGATTTTAGTAAGTTGAGTCTTTTTTTTTTCTTGGTCATTATAGCTAAAAGTTTGTCAATGTTGTTGATCTTTTCAAAGAACCAAATTTTGGTTTCAATGGTGTCTCTCTGGTTTTCTGTACTTTATTGTATTTATCTCTGCTCTAATCTTCATTTGCTTCCCTTTGCTAGCTTTGAGTTTCATTTGCTCATCTCTTTCTGGTTCTTTAAGGTGAAGTCCTTGATTTAAGGTCTTATTTTTTTAATGTGTATGTTTATAGTTGTAAATTTCCTTTGGTGTACTGCTTTTGCTGTATTTCATAAGTTTTGGTATATTTTCAGTTGTCTCCAGTTATTTTTTAGTTTCTCTTGTGATTTCTTCCTTAACGAAGTGTTTAAGAGTGTGCTGTTTAATTTCCACGTATTTATGAAATTTCTGGTTTTCCTTGTTATGAGGGTTAGAAGGGTTTCTGATCCATTCCACCGTGATCAGAAAACATACTTTGTATGACAGTTATTTTAAACATAGGTAAGACTTGTTTTGTGGCCTAAACATAATCTATCTTGGAAACTGTTCATGCATGCACACTTGAGAAAAATGTATCTTCGGTGGTGTTTTGGGTGGAGTGTTTGTTTGCTGGGTCTGATTTGTCTGTGGTGTTTAGCTTCTCTGTTTTCTTGTCGATCTTCCGTCTGGTTGTGCTCTCCATTGTTGAAAGGGAGCTGTTGAAATCTCTAAGTGTTATTGTAGACATGTTTATTTCTCTCTTCAGTTCTTTCAGTGTTCCTTCATGTTTTTGGGCTCTGATGTTTGGTGCACATATATCTCGTGTGTTTGAGCTTTTTGGTGAATTGACTCTTTTATCACTATATAGTGTTCTTGTTTGTCCTCATAACAGGTTTTGACTTAAAGTCTATTTCATCTGATGTTGATAGAGCCACCCCTGCCCTGTTTTGATTACTATTTGCACGGACTATCTTTCCATCCTCTCCTTTTCAACTAATTTGTGTCTTTTGATCTAAAGTGAGTGTCTTGTACAGCATATGGTTGGATCAGATTTTTTAATTCATTCTGTCTGTGCCTTTTGATCAGAGAGTTAACCCATTTATATTTAAAGTAATTACTTATTTGTAAAGACTTATTTCTGCCATTTTGCTCTCTGTTTTCTGTATGTCTTTTTTTATCCCTTGTCTCCCTCCATTACTGTCTTCTTTTGAGTTGAAGTTTTTTGTACTTCTGTATTTCGATTACCTTCTCGTTTTCTTTTGTGTATATTCTACACATACTTTCTTTTTGGTTACCGTGAGGATTACATATAATGTCATGAAGTTATAATATTTAATTTGAATTGATACCAACCTGACTTCAGTTTGCTTACAAAACTCTACTCCTGTAAAGCTTTGTCCCTCCGCTTTATGTTATTAATGTCTCACATTACATCTGTTTCCTTTTTGTTCCCGGTAACATAGATTGATAAATTTCTTTTAACGCATTTGACTTCTAAGTCCTGTAGAATGTAAAAAACAAAACAAAACCAGACATACAGACCATTAAGGCTGCCTTTTATACTTGTCTTTGTCTTTACCTTTGTGGGAAATCTAAATACCTTCCCGTGGCTTTGGGCCGCTCTGTACGTTTTTTTTTTCATTTCAACCTGTAGGGGACGCCTTTAGCATTTCTTGAAGGACAGTTTTGCCACATAGAGAATTTTTGGTCTCCAGGTCTCTTCTTCCAGTACTTTATAAAAGTTTATTTATTTATTTTGAGAGCGAGTACGTGAGCACAAGTGGTGGGGGAGGGGCAGAGAGAAAGGGAGAGAGAGAATCCCAAGCAGGCTCCACTCTATCAGCGTGCTGTCAGTGTGGAGTCCTAGGAGGAGCTCAGACTCCCGGACCGTGAGCTCAAGACCTGAGCGGAGATCAAGAGTCGGACGCTTAACCGACTGAGCCACCGGGAGCCCGTCTTCCAGTACGTTAAACATATCAATCCCCCTGCCTTGTGGTCCCCAGGGTTTCTGAAGAGAGACTGACCTGTAATCGTATTGAGAATCCCATGTCTGGGATGCATCTCTTCCCTCTTGTTGCTTTCCAGGTCTCGCTCTGTGTTTCAGTAGTTTGATTATAATGTGCTTAGCGTGGGTTTCTTTGGGTTTAGCATACTTGGAATTGGGTGATCTTCTTGGATCTGAAGATTTATGTCTTTCATCAAATTTGGGAGATGTGGGGCCATTTTTTCTCTTTAAAAAAGATCTTTACTCCTTTCTCTCTGTCTTTTCCTTCTGGGACCCCCATAATGGGTGTGTTATCCCTGGCGGTCCCCAGACATCTCCTGGGCACTGTTCACTTTTCCCCATTCATTTCTCTGTCTGCAGCTCAGACTCGGTTATTCCATCCACGTCTCGTCTTCCAGTGCGCGATTTGATTTTCCTCCCGTGCAAATGTGCTCTTGAACTCCTCTCGTGAATGTTTGGTCTCCGTTTTGTACTTTTCAGCTCTAGACTTACTGTTTAGCTCCTTTGAAATGTTTGTTTCTTCACTGGTTATCTTATTTTATTCATATACTGTTTTCCTGGTTTCCTTTCATTCTCTGTTTTCCTTGAATTCTGAGCATATTTAAGACACTGGTTTTAACCTTTTTTCTGATAAGTCTTCTGCAGGCGTGATTTCTGTCACTTTATCCTTTTCCACTGACTAAGCCTTGTTTTTCTATTTTTTGTGTGTGCCTGGATATTTTTGTTGTTGAAAGTTGGGCCCTGGGTGGGTTGTAATGTGGTAACTCTGGAAGTCGGGTTCTCCTCTCCCAGGGTTTTACGGTGTTTTTGTTTTCGTTTTCCTTTCAGTTGTTGAAGGCTGTGGCAATCCATTTGTTTTGAGACCTGTCCAAACCATTTTTGAAAAGACTATCCCCTTGTTGTGTGCGCTCACTGAAGCCTCTGTTCTTTTAGCTCATGTTCAGCTAGTGTTTTGACAGAGATTGCTTTGAATGCCGGGAACTGAAACAAAGAATAAAACAAAAAAGAGAGAATAGCCCCTTTCCCGGACTGTGCAGACTGGTTCTGTGCTGGAACAGTTTTCCGCTGGCTGCCCAGGCTTGCTCGAGCGCAGGGGGGTCAGTCTGAGGGGAGGGCTGTCCCTAGGTCTTCTCGGGCCTTTGTGAGTGTGCATCTCACCTGGGTGTACACGTGGCTCTCTAAAATCCTCCCCCTACCTGGCTGCTTTGGAAGGTCCTAATTTCTCAAAAAGCGTCACCCCAGCTTCTTTCTCAGGCTGTAGATGGTCTCTTATGTTTCCCAAAACTCCCTGCTCGAGGCATCTGATGGCCCGTGGTGCTCTTGTAGCCTCCGCCTCCCTCCTGCTTGTGTTCCTGGTTACGTGAGACAGAGACAAACAGGCCGGTCCTTCAGGTCAGAACAAAACGCACAGGGCGATTTGCCAACAAGGGCTGGTCCTCTCTCCTGTTGGAGGAGGGGAACTGAGAACCTGGTTGCCGTTTTTTTGAAGTTTATTTATTTTTGTTTATCTTGAAAGAGGCAGAGACAGTGCAGCAGGGGAGGGACAGAGACAGGGAGAGAGAGAATCCCAAGCAGGCTTCACACCGTCAGTGCAGAGCCCGATGCAGGACTCGAACTCATGAACTGCGAGATCATGAGCAGAGGGGAAACCAAGAGCTGGACGCTTAGCTGACTGAGCCGCCCAGGCGTCCCCTGGTTGCCATTTCTTAACACTTAAGACCGAGACCCTCACTGCCCCAGGGATGGGGTGGGGTGAGGGCAAGGAGAAATGGCACAAAACCGTCCCACAGTTTTGAAGAGAGCTTCTTTCTGATTGGGCATTTGCTCAGTTGCCTCTTAAACGTTTGGTTTTCCAGAGCTCCTACAAAGTTGGCTCAGACGGCTTCTGTTGTGTCAGCGTTTCTGTGAGAGTATGGAAGCTTGGAGCTTCCCGGTCCTCCGTTTTGCCGATCTCACTCTCCCCTTTTAAAGGAACTTAAAAGAACGCTGTGGTGTTTTTGTTTTTTTACAGGTTAACCAGAAGGGCTCAGAGAAACCACTGGAACAGGCATTTGCAACAATGGTGTCTTCCTTGGCGAGCGGAATGATCAGGTACCTCCCTAGAAATCTGTGCAGGTCTTTTCAGATCAGATGTGTACGTACATGGCCTTCAGCCCCGCCCCCGGG